CGAATGTTTATTCGGCGATAATTTTAACTGGATATGACGATCAAACAGGTAAGCTGTCTACATGAATATAACTGCGGCATTAGCCTACGTTAGCGTTTTCGAATGCTGAATGGATGAGAACTTACAAACCACTCAATTTAAATTTATAATACGAATCTTTCGCGCTTATTGAAAAGTTGTATCAACAAGATGAGAAAAGATAATGATAGTGACGGGGTGATGGCACTGAATTGGTTGTTCACGAGGAATTTCATTAGTTAATTGAAATTACTTGGATATCGAGTGGTTGTTTTGTCAATCACTTTGAGCGATCGGCGGAATATTTATTGTTTCAGAGTTACGATTATTCATTGGATTGATGTTTGGCTACGTTTAATTATGCAAAGTATTCACGGCAACTAATTAATTACTCGGTTGTGTTCACTTGGCCTGCTCGCCTAGCTAGCGGGGTGGCCAAAATCAAGGCTAAATCAGTGCGAAAGGAAACGCAAGCATTGTGGCCAGCAATGTTACAAACGTTTGATAGCCTGGCCAATCCAGGTAATCCGAGTAATTCAAATTATTTGAAAGCGATTCATGCAAATTATTAATTCGCATATTCTCGGTTCCTCGCAGTATTTTGTAATTTATCCTGCTCATCGTCGTCCAGCGGTCGACTCCAAATATGGTTTCCGATGATCGTCTGCGAAAATGGCACTAATCTTAATAAATCTGATGTAAGGAAGTAAGTATCTTTGGAACTCATAATTCAGAGAACAAAAAAAGTTAATCAAAAGAAAAAAATTCTGATGTTGCGGCGGGGAGCCGGTGCTAGTTACATTCTTGGTTGTGAAGTAGGGTGTAAGTGACCCGTTGACGAACGAGATTCAAAATGGTTTTGAGTGATCGTATCGGCTCAACATCGGAATACTCTCGCAACGAAAACTTCCGTAATTTTTGGTCGTTCGTCCTTTTGTTCATTGATGGACACATTTTGCATTTTGCCGAAATTCTCCTTTTTTAAGCACTGTCAATGAATATTTTTACTTTATGGGTGATTTTCGACTATTTGCAGTGAAATTGGGTGCAGTTATGTATATTTAGTTACGTCTTTCGGTAAATATTCAGTTGATTTGCTCACCATTACAATATTGCGTGTTTTTAGTTGTGTATTGTTTTGATTTTAACTATTTTTTTCGCCACATAAGTGTTTAGAAGATGCTTATTTCATTGGATTTTTAAAAAAATTCTTTATTATAATGAATAATCAGTGGATCATTTTAGAATTTAAAAAATGGCTCATTCAGCGCAGAAAGGTAAAATTCTCGCAGTTATTGGTGATGAAGATACAGTGGTTGGATTCTTATTGGGCGGTGTAGGTGAATTGAATAAGGTTAATTTTTAATCCTCTGTTCATATTGACGAAATAATGCTAATTTCACTGTATTTTTGAGGATTATTTTGTAAGTAATGAGTAGTCGAGTAATTGACATGAAATGTAGTTTGCCTAGTTACTGCAACCTTTACGCATGTTAATGAACAACCTCAACATTTCACTCAATGATTTCAGCTTGCTAGTGTCTTATGAACTTAAGTTGTTGAGCAATGTTTTGAGAAGTATTAGTTTTTAAGCGAAGTTGCTAATCAAATATTTGGTCACCAAACAATGTCAGTGATGAGCCAATAATAACTAATGGAATACATTAAAGGCTCGTAAACCAAACTACTTGATCGTTGACAAGTCAACATCAGTAGCTGAAATCGAAGAAACATTCAAAACATTCTGTTCTCGAGATGACATTGCAATAGTTTTAATAAATCAACATATCGCTGAAATGATCCGATATACTGTCGACCAACATACTGCCAGTGTTCCTGCTGTTCTCGAAATACCTTCTAAAGAAGCACCTTACGATCCATCAAAGGTTTGTTGATTTGTCTTTGTTGATTTTTTGTGGTATTACTCAAAATTAATAGTTGCTAGTTTCGCTTGGTTGAGGTAGAGGTTTATTTCGGACTTTAGCTGAGTCTTTCTCTGGATTTAAGTTGAGGCTCAACCCAGACCTAGGCTAAGGCTCACTCCGATAGGGCTCAGGTTGACGCTTTTCCTGGAGAGAGGCTAAGGTTTATTCCATTTTGTGAATTGCTTCAAACTACCTTTGTGAAAAACACGGACGTATGAGTCGGACTCGTATGGTTGAGTTGTCCTTTTTTCATTTCATCTCATTCGTTTATTGCTTCGTTACTGCAATCCCGATAGCACCGCGCCGTTTATTTTTATGTACCTGGATTACCTGGATTGGCCAGGCTATCAAACATTTGTAACGTTGCTGGCCACAATGCTCGCGTTTCCCTGCACATTGTTTTAGCCTCAATTTACGCCACCCCGCTGGCTAGGTGATCAGGCCACCCGATTACAACCAAGTGATTAATTAGTTGCCGTGAATACTTTGCGTAATTAAACGCAGTCAAAAACCAATCCAATAAATAATCATAACTCTAATAAAATAAATATTCCACCGATCGCTCACAGCGATCTACAAAACAGCCGATCTACAATCCTTTTACTTGATACTTTTATGTGATATTTGAAAGAGGTGACTAAAATTTCAGGATAGCATAATGAGTCGGGCAAAGGGCATGTTCAATCCGGAAGACTTTCGTTGATCAGCAGTCATTGACGGTGTGTGTGAACCGAGTCCATTCCAGTTTCTTTGTATCGCTTTGTAATTGTTCATTGCTATTTGCTCCCTTTCATGTTGCACATTTCACATTGACACTTTATACATTTCGCATTCAGCGATTGATCCATTTCAAGACTAATTATTAGGTTTATAGGAGATGAACAAAGGGAAGGGGTTGTGTCTGTGTGGCAATATTGGATTGTGATAAGGTTTGGTGGTGATGACCGTAGTGAAGAGTTTGAAATTTTAAGAACTTTATATAATGCTTGACTATACAGCGATTTTTTTCTAGATTAGTTTACAGATGGCTTGTAATTATGTGCTGAATATTATATTATGTGCTTTATTAGTTGTTTTTGATTCGTTATGTAAATTGGGTTTGTTAAATGTGGTGTTATTTATGTAATTAGTTGGAGTATCCATTATTGTAGGTGAAAGCAGTAGTATCATTTACTCGCAGTGTTGTATCAGCTGTGATAAAGTTTATTTGATTATCATGTAAATTGTTCCGATGGTTCATCTACCAAACAGTGTAAACTGTCTTTTGATTCATCTCGTTTTTGGAGAATTGTTTTCCGGGAATTGAGTGGTCATTTTTTGTGACTGAGTAACTGAAATGCTTGATGAATTTTTCAATTTCAAAAACTTTATCTATCGTTTGTAATTGTTTATGTATTTGGTTGAATTCTGAAAGGTTTTGAATCGAAACAGTAAGATTGAACATTTTCATAATATTTGTTATAATATTTGTTTTATAAATGTAGATTTGGTGCACTTATAATTTTGTATAAATGATTAAAAGACGTGAACGTGTTTGTTGAATGAATGAATATTTGGTTGGTTAGATTGTTTGTTTGTAAGATAATGAAAGTAAAAGTTAAGCGGTATTCGTCGATTGGTAAGTGATTAGCATGAAATCGCTGGTGCAGAATGAGGATTGCTCAATACAACCGAATGCACTCGTTCACCTATCGAGAACGTTGCAGCGGAATTGTGACTATGATAATTGCCATATTAATGAGACGCTTTCTGGACAGTCATCATCAATTTTACCACATAGCACAACGAATGATCAGGTGATCATTATTGATCTTATGAAGTGATGGAACTTAATTTGAACATTCATGTCAAATATAATTGTAAATGATTGAGGATATGCGCATTTTGAAGTTGAATTGAAAGAGTTAAAAGTAATGAGAAGATTACCTTTGATGTTACGACCCTCTTTGTGTTTCGCGAAATTTTTTTACATATCAGCTCCATGATCAGCTCGAGGAGCTCTACAATGCGATGTGTATCTCATCCCGAAACGCTGGGTTCAGTTCGTGACCTTTCCTTGTTAGGATGCACAAGAATTTATTCATGAAAAGAAACGCTAAATGCCCTAAAGAATATCTTCTGATAGCTGGCCACTCACTCTGAGATGAAATTTTAGTTGAAGACTGAATATCTGAACGAATGCACCAGTGCGATCGCATCGCCCGACACGTTCTGCATGCAGCAGTTATCAGAGCATTTATCGTTACTATCTGATCAGTCAGAGTCACAATTAACAATTAACAATAAATCCGAATCGCTCTCAACTCACCACGATCCGTTACTATTATTATCAAATAATCAAACTGAGGTTTTATCATCAGAATGGGTGAATCAGTACGTGATTGGTGATAATGGTACGGAGCAATCGTTGATGAACACATCATCTAATAAATCCTCTCAACAGCTCAAATCGTTACCGTTACCCTCAACATCCTCTCTTTCGTCAAATAAAATGATCAATCGACAATTGGTCAACAATAATACGAAATATGGGGTGGTGCAAAGTTCGGAAATTTTGTCATCAGATTATTTAGCGAATATTGATCAACAGTTCAGTGAGACAACTAACGACATTCAGGACGAACCGATTGATCTTACACAAGATTTGTTGAATTATATGGAAAGTGAATGGGACAATTTGGAAGGGTATGATTATTTTATAGATGTAGTTGTTATAGCAGCACGGTGTTGTGAAAACAGACGGACACGGTCTTGGGGTGAGCCTCACTATCAGCTTAGAAATAGACCTCACCACAGAAGTGGTCCTAAAGTGAGACTTACCTCCAGAATGGAGTTCGGTTTGAAGTTTGTGTTCAGCGTCATCGTTTTCATAAGAATCGTTAACTGGATTTGTTAGCTCATTTTGAATCGTGAAAACTAATTTTTGGTAATTGAAGTGATCAAACGCCATCTTTACTGACAAAAACGCTTGGATTGGAAGGTGAAAATGAGTATAAAATGATCGAGAATAATCCGTATTTGAATGAAGTAAATCAGTTCGAAAGTGGTTTTGAATCGTACGAGAATGGTGATCTTCTTAATGCGATTCTTCATTTCGAATCGGTCATCCATGAAAATCCATCGAATTCGCAGGTTTTTATCTCATTCATTGGTTATTGTTAACATTATTATCACTGTTATTATAGGCGTTATTATTAATATGATTTTATCATTGCAATCACTATCAAGATCAGTGTTATGAGTGGTATTCAATAGGCGTGGTATATGCTAGGTCTATGTCAAGCTGAAAATGAACTAGATCTACAAGCAATTGCAGCATTCAAAAAATCGATCCAGATCGATCCCAAAAACGCAGAGGTATCTATCTTCATTTCGATAGTTAATTAGTCGCGACAGCAACTCTTTTTAATGTGACTGCTCTAATTAAAGAGTTATCGTTAACAGCATCTATACGGTGTGATTACTGTTATCATCTTAGTCCGATCTGTTCGACGTTTCTTTGCGATTTGATTCAAGAATTTGCTATTCTTTGTTTTTCGATCAGTTTTGCCCGGAAAATTCTACCAGTGTCATCCCAGAATTGTTTTTGTCTTCCCATGGGACGTTTTTGCATGCCCTATGGAAACCATTCCGTAGCTGCTGCTATGGTACATCTGTTATGTGTGCTGAGTTTCTAGCCATATGGTCGTTTCCAGTTACATAATCCAGTTTCGATAATAATCCACAATTGAAGGCGATACTAGCACTGTCAGTGTCCTATGCAAATGAGTCAATGCCAAACGAATCGTTGAGACTGCTAGATGAATGGTTATCAGTACATCCAATATATGGACATGATAATGCAGATCGCATCTCTATCAGCAACACCAAATCGTATTCACTGGATGAAAACCACTTTAAAAAGGTTCATTCTCACTCAATCCACATTCGTAAACACTATTCGATAGCCATTTTGAATGTGTGAAACGTCCACTTCGCTATACACAAATAGGATAGTTTGAGACTTTCCTCCACGTTAAGGTTTAGCCTAGTTTCTAGGATGAGCCTCAGTCTCAGCCTAAGCTTGAGCTGATTGTGAGTAAAAATTTGGATCGTTCTTCTTTTTGCTGGTGGGACGAATTGGATTTGGAGCTGTCGAATAGAACCTATTGTTCATTATTACTTTACCAATCGATCGTGATATCAATCAGTGGATTGTGAATTGAGGTAGAAGAGCGATTCATGAAAGCAGTGCAGAAACAGTCAGAATCAGTTGATGTTCAACTGCAGAATGCGTTATCGATTTTGTACAATCTGAATGAAAATTATCAACGTGCCATTGATTCATTGAATATTGCTCTATCTATTGAACCTGATGTTAGTTATTGTTATTGTCATTATTATTATTATTGGTATTATTATTATTATT